TCTTTTCACAAATGATCTTAATTTTATGAATTTAATCTTTCATAACATATTAACTGTTAACAGAAGCGAACATCATGATATTGTTTATATACAGAGAATCAGATTTCTGACAAAAACAATATGTAAAATATACAGCTATATCTATCTTTTAACTACTTTCTGAGTAAATAAATATTTCGTTCTCTCGGTGCATATAAAACATGTCCCTCCACCCTCACAGATAAAATATGTCATATTCAAATCAACCCCTCACTAGTACGACAATTTTGGCAGTCTGAAAAAATATTCTTAAAACATAACAGCATATAAATAAACGTGATTTCTCAGTTCTATTTTTCAAATCTATTTCAATTAAATTTAAATTAAAGGTATTGCAGTAAAAAGGTCACCAAAGTATCAAGAATAAAACAAGGAGACTGGGTTGTTTTGAATAACATATTTTTTTTCCAAGCACTCATAGAGTATGTTCTAAAGTTTAATCAAACAGACTGAGGAGTAGTTTTGAATAACATTTCGTTTCTCATATTATCATAGAATATGTTCTAAAGGTTATTCAGATTGGTATTAAAATATTTGTTCTTATGTTAAAATTATAAACACATAGAGCAGTAATATGCAATGCAATATTTAATGATTATATTACAAGTACAGGAATTAAGTAATACGTTCCAATTCAAAGTGGTCAATAGACAATATTATTTTAATCACAGTTTACGAAATGACATAGAAAAGTACGAAATGTTTAGAAATTAAAAATGTAAAAAAAAAGAATAATAATAATAAACAGAGCAAAAGTTCATAGTTCATATACAATGTCAACCAGTCATATTGTTTCTTCATCCAAATATAATTTAACCAATCAAACGTCTTGTTCCAAATCAGTAAGATGCTTGAGTTTCCAAAGTTGCAGCAGACTGGTCATGTGCTCACTCACTGCTGACCCTGAGAAAGTAAAAGAAAAACAGTGTAAGGTGTGGAACCAGTCACAGCAAAATGTCATGTGATACAATAGGGGTTGTCTCAGATAAATATATAAATGAGATTATCATAAAACTCAAATTTAAGCTTTTAATTTATTAGCGATTGAGATAAGTTATACATAAATATTACTTAAATTGAATAAATATTTCTGAGCTTACTTAAATTCATGTGTAATCATCATTCAGAATTTATACAAAAATATTTACACCATTCCAATTTGCACGCACAGCAAAGTACACGTGCAAACCGGTAGCAAAACTCTGAGACTAAGATATTGAAACCCCTACATGCTCGGTGCTAAACATCAAAAGTGCATTTACCCATAACCCAAAATTTGCATATATTAAGGTATTGAAATCATATTGAAAATCTTTTATTATATTAATATTTTCAAATCATTTTCATCTCCAACCTATTCTATATAATAATTAAAAATATTATTAAATATAATCATTAAAAACCACATTAAGTTTGCATATTAACGAAATTAAATGTTTTATGTATCATAAACTTAAAAACTTTTATACAATTTGATGAATTTTTTATCACCATTTGTCTCACGCATGACAAAAAGTGTAAATGAAAAAATATAGGTATACTCGTCTATAGCTACAAATATTGCACAGCCACACTGAAATATTTACATCGGTAACACCTAAACTTGTCTACATCATTCTTTCTAAATTTATCACTTTCGAGGCATTTTAACATAAGCAAATGCTAAATACCATCAAACTATTTGGATAAACTATTAAAGCAAGCCCTAACTAACTGCTATAAGGCAACCTTTTATTACTTCTAACTTCCTCTTTCATATCTTGATTTTCATAAAAACACTGACCAGCCCATGCATGCAAAAGAAGTATGTAAATAAACATCATTTCTGATCCTACCAACTCTTTTTTTTCTAAAACAAGAGGGCAATGAATGGCTATGAATCGCTAACCTGATCCACATTGCCCTAAAGTGAGCTACAATCAAAACTAGATATAGTGCTGGTCAAAGCATCTTTTTGATTGTTGACCAAATTTAATCACAGTCTAATGTAACAATTAATAAATAGAACTTTCGACATTTCGGACAATGTAGTTAAAATATCAGTTAAACACAACATGTAATTCGTTTGGTATAAGTAATCAAATTTGAATATCCTGTTACTTAATAAGAAGGTAGCATTGCTAAAATGATGTTTATGCACAACTTCTCCTCAAAAACCCCATCCACCAAGAATGACAGTGCATCAAAAACTTGCAAAAATCATTATTTATTATCAATCATTTATTTACTAAAATGAATTTCTTTGGTATTTTTTCACAAAAAAAATAATGGAAAAAGCACTATATATTGTATATTTTACTAAATTAGGGTAAAAAATCAGCATTATAACGAAGTTGATACATCTAACATGGCATGCAATTTGAGGCAAATTACTTAAAACTACTACAATTTAAACACTTTGAATTTCCATGGAAATAATTTCCAGAAAAAAAAACAACATGTAATTCAAAGAACGATGTAACATACGTAACATACATAATATTATAACGATAGAGATAAAAGATGTAGAAACAACAAACATGCACAACTTTGTCATCTTGAATGAAACATTGTGTAAAACATTTGTGTGTATAATTCTTATACAAATAATGTGCATTTAGTAACAACAATAGATAATTAAAAAAATAAACTTGTAAAAATATTGCTCATCTTACATGTATAAACATTTGTTATGAGCATTTTCAACACACGCTACATGTTGATTACTTGAGAACCCTGGAAAATATCAATCTTCATCTCTTAACATCAAAAATTATAAAAATGTGGGGTTTTATTTTTAGATGTAAAAATGTGAAATTTTTAAAATAAATTCATGCTTAAAAATGATAAAAGTAAGCTAAAAAAATATCAAAACATGACATTATTTGACATCTAACAAAAATTATGAAACATGAAAAATGGTTTTCAGTTGAAAAATAATAAAAAACAACATTCTTTTTGTTGTTGCTTAAAGCAAGAATTTGCAAAAGCAAAATGTTGGTTCTAACATGATCGTGTGGCTGCGGTTTTAAAAACAATAACTTTGACCACCATGCTGGTCCTATCTCTAGCCAAAAACATGCATTTTTGTAGATCATATAAAAGTCATGCAAAATTTACCCTTTACCCAAACTGTACAATGATTAAACATCACTATAAATACACTATAGATATCGTGTAAAATAATTATATATATATATAAGGGTACGGATACAAAACAAGCATAAGATAATCTACAAAGCTTTTAAATTATTTTTAAATCTAAAAGAAAAATGAAATGCTTTTAAAAATGACCAAGTTACCAAAATAACCAACCCTTAACCTGCTGAATACCCTAATTTGTCTTTTCCAAAAGAAATTTAAAGAAAAAACAAAAACAAAAAAACCGTGTAAATAAATTTTCAAACAACGAAAAGTGGTAAGCTAATCGGCGAATATTATGGAGCCTGGCTACACAAAGATGTAAAGCTTTATGGTAAAGCTTTATGCTGCTGACAAAGGTTCAAATGTTTCAGTTCCAATTATTTTAAAGGCAAATATTTTAAATAAGATTAAATTTAAGTTCATAATATATCAAATATGCAAGTTATTTAATAATAATAATAGTGTTAAGTCAGATTTCAATATTATATTTAAGTTTTTGGTTCTGCGTCAATTTCACTGGATATTCTTATCTTAAAAAGTGATTTTCGAAATATATTCCATATTTCTTCATCAAACTATTTTTTAACACTTTTTATCTAAACTATTAAAATTGTGATTACTAAGTTAATTACACGCGTGAAATGTGAGCCTCAGAATTTTGTGCAGGCAGTAAGTTTTGGATAATTATCTTACGCTTGTTTTTTACAAAATCATTTCATCAAATGTGTATCAGTTATAGATACATATTGAATACATCAATTTAATTAAAGCAGTATATACAAATAAACATGTGTTTCATTTATTTTATCATGTTTAAACGTGCCACATCATACTAACAGACTTGATTGATACAATGTGTCACAAAATAATTATTAATAACTTTAAGAAAGAAAAAAAAGTTAATGTAGAAAAAATGGACAAATATTTTAAAACGGACAACTCACCAATGTCCCAAAATTGTGAAATAAGTAGTTATATTACAGTGATATAACAGAAAAAAACAACAACAAGTAAACCTTTATTGCTCACCTGAGAAATTGAAGGGTCCAAAGATGAAACAATTAAAACTTTAATTCAAGTAGGGCCACAAATCTCAATTTATATGGCAAATGCATTTGCTTCGGCACTTTTAAGTTTTTGATGAGTCAAATTAAAAGATCTGTTGTTTTTTTTTTCTAAAAGAGTGTATGTAAAAAAATAAGTGACCCCTGCATGACGTAATTGTTGGACGCATGATAGTCGACAAACATCTGGCGATCATATTATAAGCTCATCTTGGACCACTTAAAGTTCAAGTAAGCCATTAAAATTAATAAGAATAGAAACGTTTTCTGTGTTATAACAAGAATTCAAACATGTAGAATGATGTGACACGATACAATATCTAAACTCTGCTTGCACAAACTAAACTATAAACACAGAGTGCCAGAAATTTATTCTAACCCTAACAGGTTTATGAATTATTACCCTAACAATTATTCTCTTTCAAATATGTAATTTAGCTACATTAAGAACATCATTTTTAATTTTGAAGTACCTAAAAATGGGGTAAACCAGAATTCCTAAAGAACGCTTAAAACGACAAAATTGCAAATGTTGCAGACTCAGTCTGATAGGGCAAAAGTCGCAAAAGTTAGAAATTGTCTTTTATTTTATAAACCAAGCGTGCTTTTGTTTTTTACTGCTAGGGTTCAAAAACATTCTAGAATTCTATTTGTTGCAAAAGCAATTCAAGCTACACTTTGCAATCTCATCTAGTCAAATAAAGTTCATGCTTTTTATAAGCTGATACCTCAGTATAACTACACAGTCTAAAAACTTCCAATGTTTTGCTACAATATCACAATGTACTAAGTTTTACACCTAGGATCTAATTTATCATTCTATTCTATTCATTCTATTTATTGCACTCAAATCTTGTATAACACTTGCGACATATATGTTAAATCAAAACCATATGCAAATAAGACTTAACACGGTATGAATCCTTAATCTGAATATGTTTAAATTCAACCGATTATAAAATTTCTTTTGAGCTAAGATCATAAAGAGTTGAGTATTCATATAATAAAAAGACTATAGTCATCCGGTGTGATTGCCTAAATTTATATAAAAAAAAATACCTCAAGAAATTTAAGAGAGTAACATAAAAGCTGGATGGATGTTAAATGCAAAATAGATATATGCAATACTTGGCAAGCAGGGTTTATATATATAAACAATAAAAATACACTAACAAACTCATAGCAAAACTGTTTATATAATACATGTTTGAACAGCTCTGCTTTGAGCTTGAGAAAATCAATATACAATGGTCTAGAACTTGTGATATTTAAACAGATTCCAAAAATTCACTTCATTATTGAATAAAAAATAAAAATCTAAAAATCTAACTATTTTCATCATGCATTGATCTTCTATAAAACTTTGAGATGTACATTTCTGTCTGGAATCTGTTTAGAAGACAGTGTGTGTTTTGTTACTACATCACAAAAAAGGACCAGTTCATACAAATTCAATGGTGCTCCAATTCATTCAGCTACAGAAAGTTTCCACTGCAGCACATGGTATTAAATGAGTATTGGCATAATCTTTAACAAGGAATCAAGTAGTTGTCTTGTATCAACCACATAAATAATTCAATTCTGCTTCAGATAAAATGTCTTTAATTCCCGTTTGTTCACACAATAACAACTAATTATGATTTATCATACTTAAATCTCTTTTAAAATTTTCCATCTTATTTAGCCTTGTTACACAACTTCTTTCCGTTTCTTTTAGATAAAACTTTGCAATATTATTCACCTTATCACACTTTGCTGCCAGTCAGAATGAAATTTTAAAATGATTTTCTTTTAGAAATTTTATACAAGCTTTCACTTTAAAATGCTTAACTTGAAAGACAGTGCATTTTCATAACTATCATATACATTTCATATTATAATGTTTTCAAGGCATTGTCATATTGTCATATCTTTTGATTACATTTCATATCTTAACGCTTTCTTTTCTTTCCTATGCCGAAAACTTCTAAAGGCAAATGATATTACATTAGCAGCGTCTTGCTTTTTTCTCCACACCTCACCCAACCCCTCTCTCTCTAACCTCATAACTTTCACGCTCTCTTCAAACCTCACCCTATAACCTTTCACAGCTGCCTGCAAGCTAGTTGCAGCACCTTCTCTCAACCTTCTTCTTTGAAAAATTGCAGTTCTGTAAAGTTTTCTATTCCTATAACCTCTGAATATTTTTTGTATCAATATGGCAGCTAAATCTTCTTTAGTCAGTCTTTTGGTTACACTCAAAACCCTTCTAGGAGTTTGTTTAGCCACTGTTGTTTTCCTGACAAGTCTATCTTTCATTTCCACTCTTGTTTGATATGCTCTAAAAGCAGCCTGCAACTCTGTAGCCTTCTTATGGAACAGAATAATAGCTCTGGAATTTTTCATAAGAACTTCATCCATAGATATAGACAACAGTTTGCCTGATCGTGTTCTAGCACTTATAAGTGCCGACGGTGGTGGTTCTATATTAGCAATCATTTCCCGCTCTTTCTCAATCTCCGATCTGCATCTGTATCCTCTGTAAATAGATTGTATCATTGTGGCACATACATTCATTAGTTCAAATTCTCTCTTTTTATCTTGAATCTTTCTAATATGTTTAGCTCTAAACACTGCTTGAATCAACGTGGCACTTATCCCCCTCCTTGTAACCTTATTGGTAAGCTTTCTATATTTAGAGCCTCTGTAAGATGCTTGTATAATGGCTGATGATTTTCTTCTTCTAATTGCAATATCTGTCAGTTTTCTGTCTTTATCCGCTCTAAAGGCTGACTGTATTAATGTGGCATCTGCTGTTCGCTGTTTTCCTTCATCTGTAAGTTTATTCATCATGTCAATCCGGGTTTGATACCCTTTTACTGTAGCTTGAATTCTTTCAGAGGAATCAGTTCTTTTTCCAATATAATCAAACGTTCTTTCAACAATCAAATTAACCATTTCTGCAGCAATATGATGCATTTCACGAATATGTTTTTCTTTTCTTGCTATTTCTCTTCCCTTAAAGCCTCTATATACAGACTGTATTTTAATAGCACATGATTCTCTCATCTGCTCCTTTCTCATTTTTTCATTCTTATAAGTCCTTCTGGCTTTGAACCCTCTAAACGAATGCTGAATACTACTAGCAGCTTTATTTTCTTTAGCCAGTTTTTCTCTTTGCTGCTTGTTCTGTTTCCTCACCAATCTTGCTCTACATGCTGCCTGAAGCATTGAAGCAGCATCCATTTCTCTTCTCCTCTTATCTTTAAGCTTTTGGACCTCTTGCCTATCTTTGTATGACCTAAAACCTGCAACAATTGTTGCAACTGATCTTGTGGCTTGCATTTTCTGTCTTACTTTACGTGCCTTTAAACTGGCCATAATCGCACGACTTGCATCTTTTCTCTTCTTTATTCTCCCTCTTTCTTTATGACCAACAAATGATGCTTGGATTTGATAAGAAGCCTCTAATTGCCTTTGTTCCCATTTCCTCGCATACTCCCATCTTACTAACAAACCTTTACTTACTGTTTTAATTGTATCAGCTGCTTCATTAAGTCTTCTTTCTTTTTTGAAGGCATCATTTTCTCTCCTCTTCCTGAACGACAAATATGTAGCCTGTATCAAGCTGGCTGCCTTCAATTCTTCTTGTAATAACACTCGCTTTCTCTCTTCCATATTATCCCTAGCTAAGAAAGCCTTAACAATGCTTTGTATTCTTGTGGCACTTACAGATTGTTTAAACTCGTGTCTTGTGGAGAAGGCCTTATATAATGCTTGTATCTTACTTGCAGCTTTATTTCTCTCACGCCTCGATTTGGCTGCTTTTACAACCAAATCTCTACGGACTTTACATGCTCTAAACACCATCTGTATCATGCTGCAATTATCATACAGTCTATTTGCTCTCTCTATCTCAGACTTCGTTCTACCTATGTTAATCACCAGAAGACCTCCATTTTCAAGGTGAGAAAAGTCATCCTCCCTACTTTCATTCTTATCAGATTTAGTATCACATCTTTTCCCGTTAAAATTTTCCTTTCTCACTGAATAACCTCTCCATGTGCTCTGAATTTTAACTGCCGCGTCAGTTCGTCTATGAGCCCAGTCTTCATACTCATTTTCAAGTTTCTTTTTAGTTTCGTTCTGTCTCCTTGTTCTATGTCCACGGTAAACTTTTTGAATTTTTACAGCAGCTTCTTGTTCTTTCAACACAAGGTCATTTGCATTCGCTGACCTGTCTGATGGAATAGGTGTCAAGCGAGCAGATGGATCTGATCGCTCCAATTCATTCTCCTTTTTGTCAATGACATTTTTAACCTTATTTGTTCTACCTTCTCTTAATTTCGCTTCAGCCTGCTGTTTCAGTCTTATTTTCTCAGCTATTACCTTTCTCCGTTCAGCTTCTAATTTTATAGAAGCCGTACGTACCCTTACTATATCAGTCATTGTTTTATCTTCTCTTGAGCGATTCACATTATCTTTAGACTCTTTACTTTCCCTTGTTACCTTACTTGATTTTGAGCTCACTGAAACCGGAGTTTTCCTACCAATCGAGCTAGAGGCCTTTTTCCCAGTTTTCGATTTACTCGTCTTTGGTTTATGTCTGTGTCTTGTTAAAAAGGCCCTCGCATGAGACTGTATAATTGTAGCAGCTGATTTTTTTTGGATATATATTTCAATACGATTTAAATCTTTATGTTTAGAAGCCTTATGGTAATTACTAAAGAGATCGGGCTGTGTTTTGGATTTTCTATCTGAAGCATGAGAACCCGGTCTGAGATTAATAATGACACCAGATTTTGGTCTACCAGAAGGTTCCAGAACATGCATACTTGACTGAATAGGAGGTAATACCATATGCTTATTCAAAGACCCTGAAAACTTTACAATGTTTGAATATGATTTGGATTTTCTTTTTGATTCGTGAGCAATCCTATGTGACTCATAGGCAGCTTGTATTTTTGCAATACTTTTATGTCTGAGTTTAAAATCATCAGTCTCTGATAAAGATCCCATTCTTTCCAATTGCTGTCCATTTTTGTCTTTATCCGTTTCTCTATTTCCTTCTTCCACAAGCTTTGACAAAGACATGAACACTTTTCTTGTCTGGTATGCAGCAAAAGCTGCTTGAAGAGTGGTACATCTTTTATTTATAGCATCACTGTGCATTTGCACATGGAAAACTGTCCGCACAGACCCGTCACTAGTTCTACTTCCAGAGCTTCTTACACTGCTTACTCTTGTAACAATACTTTTCTCTGAACTGGCACTCTCACTTGTTCTATCTTCATGAAGTCTTGTCCTGTAACCACGATATGCTGCCTCAATAGTTTTCTTTGCTTCGAATTGACTGTTTTCTCTTTTAATCAGATCTATTCTAGCAGTATAACCTTTCATAGCTGCCTTTATTTTTACAGCACTCTCTGACCTTTCACTATCTAATTTGATCACATCCTTATCACTTTTACCAATGCTGTTATTTTCATCTTCATTATTTCTTGTATTAACAATATCGTCATACTCCTGTTCATGCAACGTCTCTTCATCTTGTTCTTCATCATCTTCCCACCAGTTCTGGCCAGACCTTGCACGTTTTTCAGACTTTTCAGATCCAAACTGGTAAGAGCCAAGCCGCCTGACCTTTGCACTCCTCAATCTAAATTCCTTTTTCAGAGCAGAAACTGCTCTATCTATTTTCGTTATATCCATTAACTCACCACCACCACTCAACAACTCAGATATCTCTCTTCTCATTCGATAAGCTCTAAATGCTGCTTGAAGCTGACCTACTGCATTAACATTCTTCTCTATTGAATTCAACTCGCCTTCATCATCTTCAATCTCTCTATAACTCTCACCTTCCTTTTCAACCTCACACCCAGAACTTTTACTTTGTTCATTACTTTCCCCTGTGCTGTAACTTTTAGCACTTCCTTGACCTTGTTCCTTTTTGATATCACTTAAATTCAAAGTGGTTTCTGATTTAACACTATGTCCTGTTCCACTTAATTTTGTAGAACTTCTTGGTGTTTCTTCTTTGAAATCATGTTCAAGTAAATTATCATGTCTTATATCTGCTGACTTTCTGTCAGCTGCATTTAAACTTGACTGACTTGAGGGTCTAGACAGTCCACTTCTTGGTCTACCACTGCGCGGCCTGCTGCTTCGTGGCCTCTTTCGCCCTGATAAAGATCTTTCACTACCTTGTTCCGACCTTGAACTTGTTGGCCGAGAAGAATTCAGTGGAACTATTTTTGGATTTTCAGTTAGTATGCTTCTCTCACTTGCATTTAATTTCTCATTCTCTTTCGTCACACCATTTATATTACTCTCTGTTTCAATTACTTTCTTAACCTCTTTATCACTAGGCTGTGCTTTATCACACACATCTTTCTCAACTCTTTCAACATTTATGCTTTTTCTCACAAGAAAACTTTTAAAACAGGACTGTACATTAGACACTGCATTTCCCTTAGCTTCAGATTGAATTACTCTTTTAAGCCTACTTTTTATTCGATACTCGAACTGTTTTCTTGTTTTATAACCATAAATAGCAGCCTGAATTCTTGCTGCAGATTTACGAATAGTTTTATCTGAGTACATTTTGATATTGGTATCTTGCCAATATGTGATTTCATTATCTGATTCTTGTGTAACAGGTTCCATAGTGGGACCCTGTATTGAGTTTGCAGATGTCGGTTTAGTCTTAAGCCTTTCATTCTCAATACGGACAGTATACCTTGTTAAGAAACCCTTACAAAGACCTTGTATTATACTTGCATAATATCCCCCATTTACAACAGACATTACTCTTTCATGTGTACTCTGAGTAGCACCTTGGACATTGTTTAACTTCCTAGTTATATAGCCTCTGACAGCAGAATGAAATGAATTGACAGATTTTATTGGGTAAACATTTCTATTGCGGACTATAAACCCTTTATAACTTGCCTTGATTTTATGTGCAGCAGCATTTTTCTTTCGAACTTGTTTCACTATTTGTCTTGCTTTGTAACTTTTAAATACTGCTTTAACACTTTCATCTACCTCTAAATTAAAATTTATTTCCCCCTCCCCATCAATATCCCCACCTTTATCAAATACTTTCCTTGCATGGTAAACCCTAAATGCACTTTGAATTTTAGAAGCAGCTTCTCCTTGTATGAACTGACCCTTTTTAATTGAAGACCTAGTGACAGCAGAATCCGGTAACTGAGCAATATCAGTTTCCACAATATTCTCTTCAATTACCTTAGCATTGTACTCTTTCCTTGCCTTAAAGCCCTTAAATCCAGCCTGTATTTTTGTGGCTGCTTTATCAAGATCTTCTGCATCTTTTCCTCTAGGTGAAGGTGCCTGGTCTGGTAGTTGTGGTTCCTTTTTCTTTTTTTCTGCAACTTCTTTCCTTGTTTTGAAGCCTCTGAATGATGCCTGTATTTTTGTAGCAGACTCTTTTTCTACTCTAGCCTTTTCTTTCTTGTCATTTTCTTCTCTAGCCTTCTGTTTTTTCTCTGTATAGTCTTTCCTTGCCTTAAAGCCGCGAAAATTTGCCTGAATTTGAGTAGCAGCTGTATGCTGCTTTTTATCATTGTCACTTTTATTATCTACGGTCTCTTCAATTTTCTCATTTTTTTCCTGAGCTTTTCTCTGAGCAATTTCTCTTCTGGTTCTATAACCTTTATAACCTGCTTGTATAACAACAGCAGCTTCGTCTTGATTCAATTTTTTCTTACCCGCCATGTCATTAACTATACCTTTATTTTCATTATCATTTATATCAGTTACTTTAGCTTGCTTTTTTCTATTATTATAATCTTGTCTGGCTTTAAATCCCCTAAAACCACTCTGAATTTTTGTGGCTGCGTCAATTTCTTTTGCATTCTTAGACTGTTTATCATGACATACCTGCTGTTTAGTTGCCTGCCTTGCCTTAAAATCTTTACGTGCTTTGTGACCCTTAAATGATGCTTGAATTTTCGTGGCAGCCTTATCTTCATCCATTTGCTTTTTCTTTGACATGGACTCTGCTTTTCGTCTCTCTTCCTCCTCACGACGTTCATCTTCCTGTTGACGCAGTGCATCTTGTTCTCTACGCCTGGCCTCTTCATCTTGCTGTTTTGCTTGTTTTTTAGCCTGATACTCCTTTCTGGCCTTGTAGGCACGGGCACCAGCTTGAATTTTAGCCGCAGCCTGATGAAAAAAATTCAAATTAATGAACATTTAAAGTATTTTTGGCAATATTATGTAAAGTATTATCATTGCATTTGTTTAAACACTTATTAATGTATAAAGGGAAAACAAAACTGCATCTTAAAATCTATAATTTGGTTTCATTTGGTTTTATTGGGTCATACAGCAAATCAAATGTTAATATGTTAATGGCAAACATAAATATTACATCAAGCTATTAGAAAATCTGGCGGTTTAATTTTCTGCTACACATCTACTTCTATTTAGGCTTGACCTATCGTTATAAAATTGAATTCAGAAAACCAGTCTAGGCACACAACCACACCATTGATGGGATCTGTTTCTTAAATCTTTAAAGTCTTTTTGGTGTACTCTACTGGTTTCCTAGCAGTTTCCGGCCACAAATCGCACTTTTTAACGAATAAAAAAAAATTAGTCTACGGAGGGGTACAAAACTTTGACAAGACAAAGTTAGGTACCTGTCTAGCATTGCCATGTGTTTAATGTTAACCTTTCATTTAACTTTTTAATTTGAATATAGGCCTGAAATGTAACACCTTTTTTCACCATTATTCGAAAATTCATAGCAGTTTTCCGGACCTTTTTTATTTTGAATATAATTCAGTACCATAAAGCAATGTTAAAATGGTTTTATCAGACAAACAGAACTTCCCAACCTTTTCCGTGTCGTCTGCAAAAATATTTTTCGAAGTATTCATTTACCTAAAATGGGGTCTTAGTTATTGCGAATGGATATTCAAACTAGAATTCCCCAGGTGTTGCTTTATTTTTGAAAATCGTAAAGTTCTCAAAATTGGGTAATTTGTAATAACAGGAAAACTTCAAAAATATAATTGGACATTTTAAATGTGTTAAAGTAAAAACTAAGTGTTTCTTTATTGATTAAGTATATCCTGTTGTTGTTAATGTGAAAATTTGGACGCACAAGTTTTTTACTGTCACTCGGACTAAATTTTATAACAAAAAACCGGCAGAAAATCTGTAACAGGCAATCTGAGTTAATCTTCTTAGTGTAACAAGTAATTTTTGTCTCAGATGTAATAATGGAAGTTTGCATTTTCATCAAACTGCAATTTATTTTTGGCATGTTTATCAAAATATAAAATAAGCAGCTATTGTGACAATCTTATCTTGAATGCATGAATTTCAGAATTGCCTGGCAACTTATACTGCTCCAAAAAGCATATTCATACATTGCAAGAATTTTTATTTGTCTCAAAAACATACCTGTCTTTCATTCTGTCACAAAATGCTGGTTAGTCTTACAGGGCAATAGTACTGGATCAGCTGATGAAAATAAGCTAATAATCTCCTCTAGACATTATTCAAGGTACACTCAGACACCTGGGTGATTTCGTTTGGTTTTAAGTCACACCAACTTTACAGCAATAAATAATATCACCCACAGTTTTAAAAACTAGCTGCTTAACTTCCCGATATTTCATTGTTCTCATTGTTCCTAGGGTATAAATAAAATAGCCCAAGCACAAAGTAAAGATGTTCCTGATCAATGGATATGTTTGTTTTCCAAGACTGGCCTCAAAATCTCATTTTACAACATTTATTATCGATGAATGAAACTGGCATGTAAACAATTACTAACAAACTTGGAATTTTGTATTAACTTGAAAAATTACATAAAATATATTGGAATGTTATTAATGATTTAAAGTCATAACTAGGTTGTTATCTTTATTATTAGTATATCCTATTTGTTGTTTAATTTGATAATATTTGGCGCACAAGTCGTTTTTACTTTATCACTCGTGATCTAAATTTTATAACAATAAATCTTCTTTGTAGAAAAGTTCTGTAACAGGCAATCTGATTGTTTATTCTTGTGTATAAGTATATTTGTCTGTCTATTAAGATATGAACAAAAAGTCACTTCAGCTGAAGTAATTTTAGACATGAAATATATTATCAAAATTATGCTAGTCAATTTAATTTATGATGTTTTCAGTAAAATACAAGTCATATTATTTACTGTGAAAAATCTTAAGGTTTTCTTTAAATAGCATGAGTTTTTTCATGAATATTGAATACATTGCCATTTCTAGTGAACATTTTTTTTATATCTAACTCCGGGTTCATGCAAAGTAAGATATAAACAATATCCACTCGAAAACAATGGATATTCTTTATTCAATTGATGTCACTACAATAATAACCACTACCTCGTTCTCCTTTTGCTCTCTCATTCTCCTCGCCTCACCCTGAGATGTCGGGGTTGAGGAGCGAGGGTCACCAGTCACCGGTCCCGATGTATTATTTTGCTCATAGTGGTTGAATGATTCGTCATCAAATTCGTCAATACGGTTCATGTCCTGATGAATGATTGTGATTGTGTGTTAGATATGATACATGTAAAGCAATTATTTAAGCAATATGTCTTTTTCTAATTTAACTAGTATATCAAACACAAAAACTTTTCAGTTCATTTGAAACCTGAAATGGATTTTTAAAAGAAAAGATCCTGAATTATTCTAATATTAGTAATATAGTTACTGTAATAAAATACATTTTTTGAGGTAACCAATGGTTAATAAAAAAACAGTCATTTATACTAAATAACTTTCTGGACAACATATTTGTTTTTGATGATTTTAAACAAAATCTTTTCATCAGGGCATTTATCAATAACACAAAAACAAACCTAAGATATCAAAAACAACAGGTAGTTATTTCAAGTTAATAACGAACTGAAAAGTTCTTAGTTGTTGTTGTTTTTTTTTTTGTTTTTTTTTCAGAAGCAATTTTTAGTCTGTCAAAAAAGGGATTCCATGTAACCAAACATCGGATTAGCAATTGTATCTGTATAAAGCAAGGACAGCCTTTACACCTCTACCATCTGACCAGGCTTTATACTGTTGATGGACCATGAAAACTTCCATAAAATGGGAACTGGAAAGTCATTTAATAAACCTAGCAGGTAGAAGAAAAGGGCCAGCCTGAGACCTCAAGCATGATTGATCAATATCAAAACACTGCAACTTTAGACTTGGACAAAAATCTTGAGACTAGGACACAAATCTTCAGTTAAGTCGAGGATTTTGATGAACCAATTATAGACAAAGAAAACTAGATGATGTTGCTATAAGTTCACAGTAATCCATGTTAACAATGACACCCAGACCACAGAGGATATGAATAGTATGTGTAATAGTTGAAAGTAAGTTAATTGCAAAGAAATGAAAAATTGGTGATGGTGCAAAAAACTATTGTATGAGCTTTATTCACCAGATCCTTTTATCTCCAGTTTTGTGGGTATAATTTTTTCATAGAAATAGCCTACCGTCCAGACCCCTAGCACTGGCTTAAGCAGAGTTCAACATTTAAACATGAAAATGGTGAAATTTGAATTTAGAAACATCCGCAGATGTGTTCATACGGCCGTTATCATAGAACCTTCAATGTGACACGTGCCATTCCATAAAAAGCAACATATGGTTCCCAAGTGAAAGAAAGCATTTGCCCTAAACGAGAAAACAATGCGTGGAGCTAAACCATTAAATATACCGGTATCTAGGACCAAAAAATGCAAAATATCAATCTGGTGAACAGGTAGCAAGCTTCCTAATGACCAAAACTTGTGGTAAATTTACCCACCCTTTCATTAGTATTTAGAGTGACTTTCTGGTTGGATTTTAAGTCACAGACTGACCCTTTTAAAGTCATATAGCAACATTTCAACATTACCAGTGTTGGAAGACCTCTGGTGAACATCTTAGTAGAACCAACATGACCTTCTGTAAGCTAGCTACAAAACGTTTAATATATTTTATAGAATCCTCTATTTAAACAATACTTATCACACTTTTGCCCCTTCTTTATATTTACTAATGCGGCATAACATGCCTTAAAATCAGAGGTATGGAGTAACACAAGGTAACTTTTGTAGTTTTCATATTTGAGCATTGAGTAAGTCTTTGGCCATTTCTGTTATATAACTATTCCAGGTAACATAATGCATTCTTCACATTTTAATCACCAAATAAGCTATGTTTGAAGTATATTTCTTTTTAAAATAGGGGACACTTTAAAATTAGGTGCAGGAAAGGATTAATATATAAAAAAGAATAATGATTTCACACAGAGCATGCACTAAACAACTAAATCAAAATGACAGGATGTGAAACAGGAAATTAATACAAGATTTCCATGCAAACATAAATCTTTACAAAAACATGCAGATCTCATGTAGTCTATTGTGGTATGCGTCATAATAACTGTCTCCGGCAAATAAATAAAGAGGGGAGCACAAATAACATGCCATCACTCTTTGTGACATTTCAGTACAGACAAATAAAGTGTAGGCTGACCTGTCACTAAAATGGTATAGAGTAGGCTGACCTAACACTTCACTGTAATAGTGTAGGCTGACCAAACACTTAAATATAATTTTTATTATAGATACTCATAGGGAAGACTTGGCATGCCTAACTGTGTTGTCTCTTTAAATGAAGTATTTTTTTATAATCAGATACTGCTATTGTGTAAGCTGACCTAACACTACACAGTTGCAGTGAAGGTTGACCTAACACTACACTGCTATAGTGTAGGCTGACCTTACACATATAGGCTGACCTAATACTATGCTGTTTTAGTGTTGGCTTACCTAACACTTCACTGTTTTAGTGTTGGCCGACCTAACACTATACTGTTATAGTGTAGGCAGATTTTTCACACATTTTGGTAGTATTCACTATCTTAAGACTTTCTGAACTAGCTTAAATATGATTGCACCTATTATGTTAACCATATTTCAAAGATGTCTGGTATTCTGTTACGCTGGCCTAAAGTTGCACTAGCATAGTGTAGGCATACTTTGAATTGAATTGTACTCGTGTTGTGTAGGTTGACAAAAAGTTATAATGGTGTTCTGTAGGCAGGCCTAAAACTAAAATTGTGATGTGTAGCCTTACGTACGGTGTTGTGTAAGGCTACCCTAAAGTTACACTTGTGCTATGTGAGCTGACAGAAAGTTGTACTGGTGTAGTAAAGGCTGATATAAAGTTGACTGATGTTGTGTAGGATGACCTAAATTGTACTGGTGTTATGTGGCCTGACTTTAAATGTACTGGTATTGTGTAGGCAAACCTAAGTTTGTAATGGTGTTGTGCAGGCTGATATAAAATTGCAGTAGTGTTGTGTAGGCAGACCTAAAGATTCAGTTATGTTGTGTTAGACTCACCAAAAGCTGTAATGGTGTTGTGTCAGACTGAACTGAAGCTGTATTCCTATTACGTAAGTTAATTTAAGCCTATACTGGTCTTGTGTAGGCTGGTCATAGGTTGCACTGGTGTCTAAATCATACAATACCAGTGCAGTACATGCTGATGTAACACTTTATTGATGTGTAAGCTTTTTTGTTTATAATGATGATGTTTATTCTAGTGTTGTGAAGGTTAATCAAAAGTTGTACTGATCTGTAGGTTGACTAGTGTTGTGTGAGCTGACTGGTGTAGTGTTGGTTTACCTTAAATTTTACTTGTGTAGTGTTTGCTGGCCTTCAGTTGTACTGGTGTTGTGTAGGCTGACATAAAGATTTACTAGTGTTGTGTAGGCTGACTGGTATTATGTTGGCTGACTCATAGGTAAACTGGTGTTGTGTAGGATTAGTGTAAGGTGATCTTACTGATAAAATTCAAACTTAATTTTTACCTTACTTTAGATAATCATAAATTTTATATCAGATTGTTGCCTTATTCAAATAGAGTTCTTCTTTATAATAATCATAGTAAACAGACAGATCTTCAGACCTATTTGTCTTAATGCCTTTAAACGTTAAATTTTTAAACATCTACAGTTAACAAGTCTAAACAACATAAATTAAAAGACAGACATAGAAAGAAAGCAAAACTAGTGAGTGCAAGAAAAAGAGAAACAAACAAAAAATCTAGTTAGGGTTATGTTGCTTGTTAGTAAGGAAGTGAAAAACTACATAAGCAAATTCAGGAAAATCATGCATTTACATTTCTGAAACAGAACATAACTTTCATTCACACAAATTTCTACAGACATTTTTATCTTTTTCTGATTGGTATTCTTTCTTCGTAATGATTAAAATGAGGTTATTTTGACAATGACAATGTTTCTATTTTTAGATTAGATTCCCAAACCTGCTTACAAGTGTAGAATTTCACATCAAAATTGTTAAAATAAACACCATCTCCTTTGATCAGGAATTAGCCAAATAACCTTGAAAAAAAGCAAACTTACAAGACCTTGACCTTTAACTGCAAAACTAATATGACCTTGACCTTTTGTGCATTTCTAACATAAAAACCATAGCAACAACCTATTTCCATGATGAATTCCAGTGAATAAAGAAGAGTTTAATGATAATGAAACTACAGGGTTTATATGAAATTCTTTGATGTCTAAAAATACAATAACCTTAAAACATGACCTTGTACTTGATCGCACTGATCATATTCAGAACTTGTTTGGTTTATATATTTCATTTTAATCTATATTTTGTTTTAATTCTGATATAAACCTTAAATTAGCTTTTAAAGAAAATGTTGCTTTAAAAAAATGACCAAGAATTTTTGTTATAAACAAAATTGCTTCTGAATTATAATGGAAGATAGTGAGTAAAATATGGCCATCTCTTTTATATTTGCTTGCGATTGACGTTAAACGGATTGCTTAAACAATTATGTAGATGAATAAGGACACAAAAAAATATATATGTTCTTGACCTTTAAGATGTTGTTTCATGATATGCAAATGTGTAGCAGAGATTTAGAATGCAGCATGAGGTCACAGCATGTATTCAACAAGTGTCATGTGACTTCTCAGCTAAAAATAGACTTTTGACAATATTTTCTTTAATCACAATAAAATCATTAAGATATCATAAGAATATTAAGTTCAAAATGAAAATTTTATTAATGTTTGCCTCCATATATCCTCCATAAAAGTATAATATTAAAGTATTTTTGAGGTTTTTTTTTATCATTTATATATTTTGTTTCATATTAAACATTTCCCTTTAAACTTTTGTCGAGATGTCACATAACTAAATAAAAACAATAGTATATTCAATTGTCATTGCCAAAAATAAATTAAACAGTTCTTAAATTTGATTTTTTTTTCAACTCAAACTTCAATTCAAACACAAAAATATGATAAACTTAAAATCTAAACCACGACAAGAGTCGCACCCTGATTTTTTTGTCCGTGTTGTTTTCTAATCAGGAATTCTGATAATCACGATCTTTTGATGACCTTTTAAACGTTTGCTATTTCCTTTTCCTCGGCAGTGCAGGAAACTTCCAGTTTCTTAAATCTTTCTTAAATCAAGTTTGAACTAAAATTTCCGCAATGGCTATAATAATAATAAAAGTTTGCATAATTTTCCTGATCTAACAGAAGGTGAGTGCATTGTTAATTAAAGGTGCTACAAGAACAAACCAAGCTTCAGTATCAAAATGACAATTATATATGATAATAGATCTATTACTTTCAAGCTTTACCAGTCTATGTAATAGAGAGATCCTCCTTTCAATATGAAACAATTAATCCAAAGTGCATGTGCATAAGGGGTTTCATAATTAAGATATAATAACTTAAAATACCAATATCACAAAACCTATATATAATTATTGAGTTCTTGAATGTTGTTTTTATAGAAATACTATTCTTTCAAGAATATAAACTGCCTGCAGCTGTCTTTTCCCCTGACTGGTACAGTTACACAACACTATTCAACGCCAGATTGAATAATCAAGAAGCTCTACTGAAATACTTCCTTTGGACCTCCATGCATTCCACACCCCTCCCTCCCCTGGAAAATTTGTTACTCGAATGTAACTAAACAATATCAATCAATTACTTTTAAAAATTTGAAAATATAGCCAAAATTCCATCAGTACTTTTTGAGTATTTTTAGATCTATCATATCAGTCATTTTCATAATGAAGCTCTGTAAACATACATCTTTAATGTAAGTAATATCTATGACATACATTACAATTATATATAATATACATGCAAATTAAACATGCCATGCTTTTAGTATCAAAGGAGGTTAACAGAGTTATATACAGGTAGGTAATTATTGTACAGGAAATAAAAAACATGCAGCAAAAAATAAAAAACAAAAAGGAAATGTTTTAAGACGATCGATAACCCCTTTATGTAGCCTAAATACTGTTATATCTATTTAAGCAGACAGGAAAATGGGAAAACACACACACACAAAAACCACTTAAAGGCCTAAATCAATTTAAACATGAAAGTTTTCCAAAATAAAACTTTTTTTCTTTCATTTTTTGTTCACTATAATAAAGGGACACTGAATATAGAAATCAATAATGCACACATTGCTTGGAATATCTTATTATATAACATCATTTCAGGGTCGGATACACCCTACCTCCACCAAAATTATTTTTTTAAATTTTCTCAAGTGCAACAAAAAAAGGAAAAATACAAAACATAAAAAACTACAATTGCATCATCATACAATGTTAAATAAATGAAGGTAGTTGTGTTTATGGCGCAGTGGGAGATTTGGGCTCATCGTTTGGGTTCTCATAGCTCTCATCCTCTACTCTTTGACCACCTGGGTCATCTGGGCTTGTATGCCCAACATCAGCCCCATGAGGGCTCTATAAATCATGCATCTTATAATTATCTTTATATATATAACATGGAAACAACAACTAGAATATAAATAACTTAAAATAATTAAAAACATATTAATATATATCATCTCAAGTCTGATAAAAGACTGTAAATTATCATGCCAATCAGTCTCAAATCCTTTTCCTGGATTTTACCAGTGTTGAGTGCTATAATCAGGAAACAAAACTGTAAAACCAGTAGGGTTCGAAATCTAGCTACTTGGATTGAAAGGTAAGCCACCTCTTATCATCATGACATTTTGGGTATTAATTTCTAGATGTGTCAGGTCTAGTGACTATATCCAAAACAGTATTGTTTATTTTTTGGACAAAGAAATTATAACTTTGCATCTAAATCATGTCATTAAAAAGCCTGTCTTACACCTAGATTCAGGTTGTTGTTATTTTTATACATTTAAATATTTTGTTGTTCTTTTTTTTCTGTAAAATTCTCAAATGAAAACAAAATGTCTACTTACAGCATCTTCATTTACCCTTTCCTGAAAAGATGAAAAGATTGTTTTTTGTATAATCTAACATTGTTTTGGTACAGTTTTCACTAAATACATTTCTCTTGTACATGAATATAAAATGCCTACTTAACTGTACTGTAATGTACTTTAAAAGAAACTTGAAACTTAAATTATGCAGTGCATTTTTACTATAAACAAAGGTGCTTATTTTTGTGTTCGAGATTCTAATTATTCAGAGCGTTTACAAACAATCAAACATTCTAGATAAATAATTGTAGTACTTTGTGATTCTATATGTGCAATGAATATTTCTAAAGGAAGATAACTCTTGAAATAAAATGTTTCTATCTAGTGCTTAGTGCTTAGTGGTGTACATGTCATGCACAATAACTACATTAAAAGCAACTCAGACATTATAAAACATAAACAATCTTGTACTTTGCTGTCAAAAATGATAATTTCTACAAGGTATACAATAAATAACATTGAGACAAAGATAAAATGACCAGTACTGGCAACATATAGCAACACCTTCACCGGTCACTCCAAACAAGGAAATATCAAGCACAACATGAAGGTCTACAGATACTAGTGCAAGCATCTTTATTTTGGTTCATTTCTTGCATTAAGATTAAAAAAACGTCATTTTTTAAACAGAGTTGTCCTTAAAGCAGAATATTTTTTATACTACATAAATTATCATCACCTTAGTGCGGACATAGCCCCAGGTTTAAACTCCTGTTAAATTATATAAGATTACATAAGGAGTTAACCCCTTAATGCATCAAGGTGACAATATACTTAAATATCACCACATTATGTCAACTAGACTTGTGGTCTGAAACAATTTTCAGTGAAAATACTTAGTGGTGGATAACCAATTTTGAGTGAATAATACATAAGCCAGACTTTATGTTATTAATAAAATTGACACAAAATGCATGACTAGAGACATGAGATTTTTCAAAATAAAATTGCAAGCAAAAATAATTTAAACAATTTCATTCAATATTTCATTCATAATTGATAAAAAATAAGAACTAGCATATTTTCAAACCAAACAATTTCCAACCACCCATTAGCATCATATTCATGCATTTAGCATGTCTAATTATAATAGAAATATTTCATGCAAATTAAATTTCGCTGACTGGTTCAAGAATAGCAAAAACAGGCCACCTGATACCACAAGATATAAAAAAATCAGCTTTAAATTTAACTTGGTTTGCAAGGAAATTTATAAGCAAAACCCACCAATATATACCATTCTACTCAATTATTTGCAAGCATACACACGGATGTATTATGCACATGTAGGCACATTTTATACCTTCTTTGGACTCTCTGCAGGTGTCAATTTACCATGAGGGGGAGTTGTTGACAAAGGGGGCTTATTCATTTCAATATCATTAGATTTTAAATCCATTGGGGTTCCCTCCCTTTCTGACATTTCAAGAACATCATTTGCTTCGAGATCTTTCGGCTTTTTCTTATCGTCTAACTCGGCTTTACTTTTGCCTTCAATTTTATCAACAGCTTCCTTAACCTGTCCATCTTTCATGTCTTTCTTATCACCTTTTTTATCACCTTTCTTAACTTTAGCAGAATTACTTTTGCCACCTCCCTCATCAACAATGGGAGGTAACACAGTGATCTTATTAATTACTTCTTTGCCAGATTTGCCTCCCTTTTTTACCTCAGTATGGTTTTTACTCTGAGAACCATTTTCAGAGTTCTGCTTGGCTTCCTTTGAAGGTCTCTTGTTAAGTTCTGTGCCAGGTGGGATTGGGGTGGTCTTTTCTTTAGTGTGAATCTCTTCCTAATGAAGCCACAGCAAACAAAAGGTGCAAGTATTATAAAGTGGTGCAACAAAATTTGGGATAGGGTCAAAGAATGTTTGCTTTTGATATTTGAACAGATACTTGAACAGAGTATTTTAAAGACAAAATGATGAAATGAATTTTGAGAGAAAAATAGGCTACTAATTCAGTTAAACATTTGGACCAACTGTGGTGAATTGGATATAATTTGTGACAAAAAAGCAGACATTGTTTGACTCTAGAAGAAAATGATGGATTCACTATGACCTTTCAATGAGAATAAAAAAAATTGTTGACTTGTAATTAAGTAAAAGAGAATTCATTAATATTTCCCAGCACATTAACACTTTTACTAGTGAAGGAATGAAGTGAAAGTGTTCCTTCTTACATCATATCAGGCACAAGCTGACACATAAGTAAAACCATCAACTTTGTGTAAGCTTAACTCCTAAATCAAAAAGGTCATAGTGAATCCAAGGATATAACTGGGGATTGGAAAACATCTGAATAATTTCTTAAAATATCTTTGCAGCTTTGTACTTGAAAATCATTTTAATTCATTTGTAGCAAGTTCTTAGATTTTTTTATGACAAGTAGCAAGTTATTATTCAACTCTTTGTTTTAGTACTTTAAGACAATACATTGTAATGCAATTTAACTCTTACATCTAACAAAGGAAAAAAATCAAACAATTGTTATTTAAACTTTTGAGGTAACTTGATATCCTAAAAAAAAACAGTTAAAGAGTGAACTTTCTTCTTATATTTTACAACAAGAGCTGTCACAGGAGACAGCGAAGCTCGACTAATAAAATACTGGACGCAGTAAGGAGGACAAAACTATGAAAGAAAAATCAATTATGTATAATTATGTATTAAGTTATAGTAAAAAAATAACATTTGTTAACATAAATTCCAAGATCAAGGGGAATAATTATAGAAATAGTCATGCTAGAGTTATGGATCTTGCCACACAACATTTGTGTAATGATAAGAAATATATATTTGAAGTTTGAAGTAGATACCTTAAAAAGTAAAGAAGTTATTATATTTCTTAAAGAAAATCCTAAGTTCAAAGGGAGATAAATCTGTAAATATTGCTTCAAGAGTTATGAACATTGTCACATAAAATGTAATTAATGATAAGGAATAAGTATTTGAAGTTTGAGGTAGATACCTTTAAAAATAAAAAAGTTAAAATAAAAAATAACATTTTTCTAGTAAATAAATCTAAGTTTATGGGAGATAATTCTTGCAATATTGGTGCTAGAGTTATGAACCTTGTCACATAAGATGTGGATGATGATCACGTAAATATATTTGAAGTATGAAGTTGATCCCTTAGAAATAAATAAGTTACAGTAAAAAATAATATTTTTTATGGAAAATTCTAAGTTCAAAGGAGATAAATCTGAAAATATTGGTGCTAGAGTTATGAACCTTGTCACATAAGATGGGGATGATGATAACGTAAATATATTTGAAGTATGAGGTCGATCCCTTAAGAAATAAAGAAGAAACAGTAAGAAATAGTATTTTTTGAGGAAAATTCTAAGTTCAAGGGAGATAAATCTGAAAATATTGGTGCTAGAGTTATGAACCTTGTCACATAAGATGGGATGATGATAAGGTACATATATTTGAAGTATGAGGTCGATCCCTTAAGAAATAAAGAAGTATCAGTAAAAAATAGTATTTTTTAAGGAAAATTCTAAGTTCAAGGGGAGATAAATCTGAAAATATTGGTGCTAGAGTTATGAACCTTGTCACATAAGATGTGGTTGATGATAAGGAACATATATTTGAAGTTTGAAGTTGATACCTTAAGAAATGACAAAGTTATAGTGAAAAATATTTTACTGCACCAAAACTTTAATCTAAAATCTGGACGCGGACGCGGACGCCGGGGCGAGTAGGACAGCTCTCCATATACTTCGTATAGTCGAGCTAAAAAAGGGCCTGACTTTTTACATAATTATAAAAGTGCTAAAAGAATTTTAGATAAAGAAACATTATGTCACTATATAGTACAAAACCAGATATGTTTGACCCTTATCCAACTGAATTTTATCAATTCTAATGGATTCGTCCAGATTCCATTTTTGGATATGTCCTGATTATTAGTTTTGGGGCCAGCCTACCTAATTTCTATGAGAGTCATATTTGCTTATAGCAGGGTAAAGGTCAAATGTCTTCCTACTAAAGTAAGAACCACATGCAGTCTGACTTAAGGCTCTATACTGTTGACTGACAAACTTTAAATATTCAAATTGATATCCCTAAAATTGATAATGGACAGTCCCAAAGTGGAAGTGGGACAAGTCCATTTAAAATATTCAGCATGTTAAATTAAAACACCTTGCAGGGCCTGAATCCAAAGTAGTGAGGGGCAAGTCATTTGCAAAAGTCAGTGACCTGCACTTACTTACTTGACCACAAAGTCCCCTATATTGCATTTGTTTATATTTTTAGACTATATCAAGAAAGGAAACAGTACTATAATAAAATAAGTTGATGCTCTTTTGAGAATTAATTTTTGCAAATTCAATTTGTACGTAACTGATTAAATATATTGGATTTAAATATTACACCTGAAAACTTTTATTATCTAGGCACTCAAAGGCAGGCTTGATTCAATAACTATTTCATATTAACACAAAGATGATAATTTATTCTATTATTTGCATAACCTTAACTTTTGTTGATTTAAAGTAACAAGAATTTCTTCATCAAAGTCTGATAATCAAATAAAACACTCTATAAGATCACTTAAACTTCTTCATTAAAGTTAAATAATCAAATTAAAATCAAAATTCTACTCAAATTTACATTAAATGAATCTAGCCAACATGGCCTTGACAAAATCTTTTTCTCCAAATATCTTCAGGCGAGATACTACAAAAATTAACTGTTAGCTATAGAGCCATCCTTAAAAATAGAAAAAAAACTTGTGTATTAGAATTAAAATGATTTTAAAGTAATACAAAGTAAAAGCTGCAAAGCTTTAAATTAATATAATGTTTTCAAGACTTGTATATTAGAGCTAATAATATAATTTAGGAAAATCTTGTATGTATATTTATCTCAATTAACTTTTAATTAAAGTTAAATAAGAAAACTTCAGCATTTAAATCATTTACAGTTAATGATGTGTTGAAAATATAAGCAAATGTTCCTAAAATTTTCAAGCCTATCATATTCTTAAAAGTAAACAGTTATCAAAATAGTATTTAATTGATAATGTAACTTATAATGCATGTATATGACATTTATGTAAAGATTATGAATAAATAAGTGATTAATTATAGCTAGCCAAACTATACTAAAACACAATTTCACAAACAAAATGTTTATACATTTATACTGTTATATTGTTCCTTATACACTTCAAACTTATGCTATCATATTTTAGCCATCAAAATCATTTGCCTAATTTCACACCAAATCCAGTCACGACCTACCAAGAACACTCATGAGTAGACTTTTCTTCTAGTTTGAAACTATACATTGAAACAAGTGTTAGTAAAATAAATGAACAAGAACTGTCGGAGGACAGTAAAGCTCGACTATTCGAAAATTTGTCACAAGGGTGTTTCATTGAGTATAATAATGCTTACCTATATGAATACATAAAATTGTCCGAAAAGGTACAAACTCTTCAAGTTTCAATACATTCCCTTCAGTAGTTATGGAGATACAAGCTTACATACAAAAACTTAACCAAGATTTTCTAAGTCGAAAAAGGGGCATAATTATGAAATAAAACAATTCAGAGTTATGGGACTTGTACCAATCACCTTAGATTATCAGAGAGAACAAGTGTGTGAAGTTTCAATCCATTACCTTCAGTAGTTATGGAGATACCAGCTTACATGCAAAAACTTAACCAAGAATTTCTAAGTCAAAAAAGGGGCATAATTATGTAAAAAAGCAAATCAGAGTTATGGGACTTGTGCCAATTATCTTAGATAATCACAGAGAACAAGTGTGTGAAGTTTCAATCCATTCCCTTCAGTAGTTATGGAGATACCAGCGAACACGCAAAAACTTAACCAAGAATTCTAAGTCGAAAAAGGGCATAATTATGTAAAAAAGCAAATCAGAGTTATGGTACTTGTGCCAATTGTCTTAGATAAACACAGAGAACAAGTGTGTGAAGTTTCAATCCATTCCCTTCAGTAGTTATGGAGATACCAGCTTACATAAAAAAACTTAACCAAGAATTTCTAAGTCGAAAAAGGGGCATAATTATGAAAAAAAGCAAATCAGAGTTATGGGACTCGTGCCAATCATCTTAGATAATCACAGAGAACAAGTGTGTGAAGTTTCAATCCATTCCCTTCAGTAGTTATGGAGATACCAGCTTACATACAAAAACTTAACCAAGAATTTCTAAGTCGAAAAAGGGGCATAATTATGTAAAAAAGCAAATCAGAGTTATGGTACTTGTGCCAATTGTCTTAGATAAACACAGAGAACAAGTGTGTGAAGTTTCAATCCATTCCCTTCAGTAGTTATGGAGATACCAGCTTACATACAAAAACTTAACCACAGGGACGCCGACGCCGACAAATGGGTGACTGCATTAGCTCGATTATTCTGCGAATAGTCGAGCTAAAAAGTATGATATGAATATTAAAGTTCAAGCAAAATACATCCAATTTTAGCATAAAAATATAGACCCTGACTTATAGATGATGATATGTCTTACAGGTGAGTAAATAGGTAAATATAAAAAGGTTTGCTGGAATAAGACTATTTCTACAACTAAATCCTTCTTTTACCTATGAAAGATAAGAACTTGAAGTAGAATGCAGAGGAAGCTTTCATAAAAGAAGTGTAGAAAGTTAGAAAGAAAAAAAAAATATATATATATATATTTCACTGTGGACCTTTAAACTTCATTGAGCAAAAAAAATCAGAAAATGTTTTTCTCAGTGTATCAGTACTGTACCAATGTGATTCTTCCATATTATAGCAATACTGGGATTGACTGTACCAGACTATTAACATTATATCTCTACAAGTACTTGTTAACTTCTCCACATACATGTATACCAAAGATTTAATTGGTGTGAGATATACTATGAAGTTGCCTTGCATTAAGGTACTTATGTAATGTCTTTTTTTGTCAACTTTAAGATAGAAAAGAGAATTTCTTATAAAATGCTTAAGGTATCAGTTAACAAGATGAATTGTTAACAAACATTTTATTAAAAGATATTGATAAATGAATTACAAACTAGAACTGCCACTATCATGGCGTGAATACCCCCGCATACCACTTTGTCAGAATCAACAGTGGCCATTTAGAGCTCAAGGACAACCTCCCTGCAAAATCTGAGGTTACTAAGCCAGTGCATTGCTAAGTTATGTATTCTACATGCTTCAAATGTGAAAATGTCAAAATCAATACATTGCGGACAGGACATTCTTTAGCAATTGAGAAGAAAAGCTTTTTTTTTGTCAAGGTCCCTGTGACCTTGACCTTTGATCCAGTGACCTCAAAATCAATAGGGGTCATCTACTAATCATGATCAACATCCATGCCAAATATGAAGACTGTGGGTCAAAGGAATCTAAAGTTATTGGGCAGATAAACTTCAGATAAACTTTTTTAATCAAAGTCCCTGTGACCTTGACCTTTGACCTGGTGACCTCAAAATCAATAGGGGTCATCTACCAATCATGACTAACCTCCATTCCAAATATGAAGACTGTTGGTCAAAGGAATCTTAAGTTATTGGGCGGACAAGCTTTTTGAAGTCAAGGCCCCTGTGACCTTGACCTTTGACCTGGTGACCTCAAAATCAATAGGGGTCATCTACTTATCATGACTAGCCTCCATGCCAAATATGAAGACTGTGGGCCAAAGGAATCTTAAGTTATTGGGCAGACAAGCTTTTTGAAGTCAAGGCCCCTGTGACCTTGACCTTTGACCTGGTGACCTCAAAATCAATAGGGTCATCTACTAATCATGATTAATCTCCATGCCAAATATGAAGACTGTGGGTCAAAGGAATCTTAAGTTATTGGGCGGACAAGCTTTTTGAAGTCAAGGCCCCTGTGACCTTGACCTTTAACTTGGTGACCTCAAAATCAATAGGGGTCATCTACTTATCATGACTAACCTCCATGCCAAATATGAAGACTGTAGGTCAAAGGAATCTTAAGTTATTGGGCGGACAAGCTTTTTGAAGTCAAGGCCCCTGTGACCTTGACCTTTGACCTGGTGACCTCAAAATCAATAGGGGTCATCTACTAATCATGACTAACCTCCATGCCAAATATGAAGACTGTAGGTCAAAGGAATCTTAAGTTATTGGGCGGACAAGCTTTTTGAAGTCAAGGCCCCTGTGACCTTGACCTTTGACCTAGTGACCTCAAAATCAATAGGGGTCATCTACTAATCATGACTAACCTCCATGCCAAATATGAAGACTAAGGGTCAAAGGAATCTTAAGTTATTGGGCGGACAAGAAAAAACCGACGGACGGACGGACAGACGGCCGGACGGACAACCGGACAAGCTGATTCCAGTATACCCCCCTTACAACTTTGTTGTGCGGGGGTATAATTATCTGAAAATGGTTCTTAAGTGTAGGCTAAATGGATGCAAGGTTAGTATCTTATGTTAGTATTTCTATATCACTTTAAAACAGTCTTTTCTAAGATTTGTTTTCCTTTCAAAAACATATAAAATTACTATGGAAGAAGAAGAAATCAATAAGAAAAAAAAACATAAAAACTGTGACATCATTTCATATTTGGGGGGTGACTGTGAGAACAGAAAAATAAATTCCAGCTAAGAAGAAATCATATTTTTCAAATATCCACAAATTGCAAAGCAATTTAACATGACAGTACCTATAGTAAACATCTACTATTTTTGAGTGATCATAATTATACATTGGGGAAAACAATGAAAGTAAAAAATAAGTATACATGTACAAGTGAAACTAGTGACCTCACTGATGACCTCAAAGTTAAATGATATCACAATAAGTTATAAAGGGTTTGTGAAGCTGACTGTGAGACAAAACAAAAGTTAGAACATGCATATAATTTTATTCCCCACCCACCAAAATATCGTATATTAAAACAATATATGGCAACGCATGCGTGTTGCCATGGAAATCATGAAAGAGAACAGTAATACTGAAACTATAAACATGAAGGAGTCAAGCATGCATATCTGTCAGTGAAACATTCAGGTCAAAGTTCAAACATTTTTGAAGTTGAAATTTCCATCAGGCTCTTCTCAGTGTAAAAGTGCAAGTTTTAACCTTTGACCTTTTGTGAACTGTTGGAAAATTCAACCTTGAACTTTGATCTTTAGCTCACTGAGCCCAAAATAAGGGCATACCTCATCAACCACCTCAGCTTCCCTTTGATCAATAGGTTTTTCAGTTCGAGTCTCCCGAGTGTCATTTACCTGATGTGCTCCCTGGGCATTGTTCTGCTTCTTTGCCTTGAAAACGCCACCCTCATCTGATGATAGATATATAATTTACATGGTTAAAAAACATAATTTTAACAAGATGCATACATGATTATATATAACTTTATATCAACATGATGGAATCAAGATTTTAACATGATTGAAGGAATCATGACATTGATATGATGATAAGCTAATTAATATATGAATACTAAAATTGTTATATTTATATAATGGAAATATGATATTAACATGCTGAAAACATTGTATTAACATGATGTTAACATGATAAAGAAAGCAATATTAAAAAGACGAAAACATGATATTAACATATGAAAAAAGCCTGGTATTATCATGATGTTTGCATGATAAAAACAATATCATCATGCTGAAAAGGCAATGTTATTATTGTCCAAAATCTATTAAACACAAGACTTGTCACTGCTGGAAAAAATGTATGAACAATTACTGACAGCAATAGCATAATTATTATTGAGATTCAATTCATCAACTTCTTCTAAATTGCATGTGTGTTATCAGAGGCAGACAGTTGACTATCTTAAACTTGTATCATAAAATTCCCACAATACTAGATAACCGAAAACTATTAACAGGGCTTTTTCGTTTTGCAGTTTTTAAATGGTATTTTACTTTGCACCAACACAGTATAGGTCATATGGCAACTTTCTAGCTTTACTGGTAGAGGAAGAACTCATGACCCTCCCAAGATTATTCCATATCAGGCAGAAACGGGCACCTGTGTAGTAGAACCCCGATGTTGCATAGCTTCCTCACATGAAAGAATCAACTGTTAGTTCCTGTCGAGATTCAAACCCACACTGGTGAGTGGCAAGTGGTTTTAAAGTCAACAAACTTGACCTCTCCTTCAAATACACCATTGATTAAAACAAACTGCAGCACATACAAACTGAAACACTACATAAGTATATTAATTATATTCACTGTAATTTGCAAAGTATAAGTCTCCCGTAATTAAGTAACACAGACATTACCTTTTATAAAGATATCATATCAATGTAGATAAGATCATTTTGTATTTACAGTGTTTACAAGTTTTGAATATCGTATTAAATGCATTATTTCAAATAAATTTAAACCATGTTTGACAAATTTTGGCATTACAATGTAGTCTAATTCTTATTTCAGTGATTTGTAAGGTGGCTTAAAAACATAACAACTGAACAACTAAAATGTAGTCTCAAAGTACAGCTACAAATTCTTACATATTAGATTGTTAGTCCTTAATTTGAAAGTGGTGTTTGTAGCAAGCATATTAAAACTTGAGTTTAATTGAAAAATATTAACAACAGAAAATAATCACAAATTAACAGTACACTAACTCTAAAATTTTCTGTTATAAAGAACTAATTGAGCTTAACTTAGGAGTTGTTATAAGTGTAAGTGTTTAGAGCAACAGCAAATTAATTTTAATTTATTTCAAGTAAAAAGTTACACCAATGATGCTCAATATAGAATTTGGGGATTATCTATAAACTAACCAGAGGTACAGTATTCTAAATACAAGCACCCTGGCAAAGAGTTATCAAGCAAGGCAAGGAACAATCAGCACGCTAGTAATTAAGGAGCGAGGCAAAGAATTATTGACAGAGGAAATGAATTTTCAACACAGGCAATGACTTTTTGACACAGACAATGTAATTTTTGACACAGACAATGTAATTTTTGACACAGACAATGTCATTCTTGACACAGACAATGTAATTTTCGACACAATGTAACATTCGACACAGACAATGCGATTTTTGACACAATGTAATTTTCGACACAGACAATGTAATTTTCGACACAGACAATGTAACTTTTGACACAGACAATGTAACTTTTGACACAGGCAAAGCATTTTCAACAGTCAATGAATTCTCGATACCCAACTCAAGTAAAGAGATAAAGATTTGTTAACATACCTTCCTCCATGTGATGGTGCGTTAGAATATGGAGACATTGTGTCTGCTTGACTCTGGTTACTAGATCCTATTTGTGGTAACTTTTTATGCCTGAAATAAATCAAACAAGCTTGTTTTAAATTTCCATTGTTTATACATACTTTGAATGTCTTGTTTTTTAACAAAGATTTCAAGACATTTTTTATGCAGAATTTATTTTATTTCAATTGTGTAGGAAGCTTATAATAAGCTTATAGACACACTTTAGAATCTGAAATAACTAAAACCTTGAAATATTTTGTTATACCTAGCATTTACCATATATGTATAGAAAAAAATTATAGAAAAACAGAGTCCCTTAAGCACACTAAAAATGGCAAAATGGAAAATGTTGCAGGCCAGGTTTATATATTTTGTGTAATATTTTGGCTGTCAATCCACTTTTCAGCCTATTAATAACTTTAATAGTGACACAATTTGAAGGTTCCATGATAACCGTCCTATGAACACATCAGGGGATGTTTCTAAATTCCAACTTTCACCATTTTTGTGCTTAAATCTTGAATTCTGCATAAGCTGGTGCTAGGGGACATGGATGATAATAAATGATGATAATAAATGCATTTTCCACTGCAGTCCATGAACCAAGCCTGCAACATTTTCCAATTTGTTGTTTTGTGATATTACAGCTTTCATTGAATCAAATGCATCTTAATTTAATATATAAGCAACCATTTCAAAATTAGAAATTTCAGACAAATAAAAATTTTAAGCTTACTTTGAAAACTGTCCTTTACTCCTTGGCGGGGAATGTGGCATGGGGAATGGATCATACCCCTGTCCTGTCCTTGGTGATGTGTGCACGGTGAAATTTTTGCAACCTTTCTCATTATATCTTTTCGGTGTTAAATGTCTGATATTCTGTACAGCAAGGATATGGTCATTAGTTTTAAGGCTTGACACATCGTTTTCTGTCAACAGTTGGAAATTTTCTGCTATTCCTCCACCGTTTATAACTTTATGAAGTCTGAAAAATATATACATTATTTTTTATAATTCTGCACTTTTGTAGCATTGTTTTTCATTAGATAAGCATGACATTTATATAATCTATATACATGTACACGGCTGCTGTCAATCATTGATATATTTTTTTTGTTTGATCTCAAATAAGATAATGTTGCTGTGTAATTAATTCACTATACAGATTTTTGACATGTTATATGGCTGCATATAAATAGTTGTTTTTCATTATATAAACCTCATCAAGTAGCTCAGGTCATAAAAGAAATATTTACAAGGGATAATACAAGTATAATAAATTTCACTAATTTCACAAATTGAAGATTTTCACAAAATTATGTTCGCTAATATATATAATGTATCAAAGTATCACTATAAATATTTCACAGATTTGAATGTAGATATATAGCTGTCCGGTTAGCTCAATAAGAAGAGTGTTAAAATTGGCAAATGGGGTGACCCTCAGATAGTATAGTAGTTCGATTCCTGAACGGTGCAGGTCCTTTCGTTGTTACTGATCATTAAACCCTTCCTACAGTCACTCGCACTGTACCTCTGCTCTGGCATGCACAGAAGTTTCAATTTCTTGTGACAATTCTAGTACTGGTAAACTGCTTGACACTGCTTGCCAAGGCACTGTGCGGGAGCTGAATTGTGCTCTGGTAAATTCAATGTGCCTTTCTGCCGTGTCCAGAGTGAAAACCAATATCACAATCACCATGTAGAAATTCAATGTTCAAATATTCAATGTTACCAAATTGTGTCAGAAATATTGATTTTGTGAAATTTTGACCTTCTGAAATATCTGACTTTCACAGTAAATTTTTAAAATAATATATAAAATATTACACTTACTCTCTAATTTCGCTTGTACCTAGTGTATCTTGTATATATTCCTTAACATACTTCAAACTTCTGTTATGAGGTTCAGTTATTACAACTGTTCTAGCATGTTCAGTGAACTCTCCATTCACAAAAACTCTGAAAAAGAATCATCAAAGCTAATGTAACTTCACTGAGTTTTTTTGACATGATGGGACTGTAAATAATTTTATAGAGATTTTTATAGAGGGTATTTTGTTTGTTTTACATGAAAGATCGAAATATATTTCAAACACCAGATGTAATATTTTCAAGAATGGCATATATATAGCCACAAGTGAAAATATAACAGCTGGTGTGTTCATGAGTGAAATATAATTTGTTCTTACATACAAAACATACAAATTTTATTTCATGCTTCTTTGGAGATTTTACTCGATATTACTGACTTTTGCATTTTAACGACATGCCCTGTCATTCATGACATCATCAAATCATGATGTCACATTGTTCTTGTTGAAAAATAAAATTCTGTAAACATTATGAATAAAGTTATGCTTTTAAAAATATATGTGCAGATATTAATATGATTTCTGTACTCAAGAACATTTTATTCATAATGCCATGTACTCCTGGTGATATATCCACTTAATAAAGTTATATTCTTTTTTTATCCTCATTCAGTGAGATATATACGTATAATTATAGTTCTGCTACTGTCAAAATTATATTTTATATTTCACCATGAAATTATCAGATGATAATTTATTAATTATCAGATGATAATTTATTGCCCACTGAAAAGCATGTTATTATTAAACAAAATGTTCACTTCAATTTAAAAAGACCTGATTCTGCTGTCAGCACACTCCACTCTTCTCAGTGCTTAATTAGCTAGGAGATTATAGTTGAAAAATGACATCATATAAAAAGGGACATTCTGCAAATATACTAAGGCTAAGCTCTCATTAAAGTCAACAATTTTTTTTAAAAGTTCAATGAGAACAGTGTCTGAGAAAATGGACCTAATGACAAAAAGGTTAACCAATGCTGACATCAACTCGAACACTGATGAGGGTCATTTCAAATATAAAAAAATTGAGCTTAAAATAACACAATGCTTACTTTAATATAACAGCTTTCTTTTGCTCTCCTAGAGATTTTGCTCTACCATGTAGGTTCCTTAGTCTAGGATCATGTTGATGTTGAACAGGTGTATACTGAAACATACCAAAATATATTATATAAGTTACATAAGTCATGTCCCTTGGATCATAATGGATCATCTTTCTTTATGACAATTAAAATGAGCACAGTTCATGTCAGTGACATACATATTCAAGAATAATCAATATCTATGACACATGCAATAAGAAATGACAATGTCAGTGAGACATTAAATGAACATACATTTAATGAAAAGTCAATGTCAGAGACACAGCATTAAAGCTGTGGTTAATGCCAGCGACACATTATATAAACTGCAGTCAATGCAAGTGACACATTATATAATAGACAATGCCAGTGTTACATTAAATGAACAGTCAATATAAATGACACATTCAATTAGAAAAGACTAAATGTCAGTAAAATATCAAAATAAAAACAGTCGATGTCGGTGAAATAAGAAATGAACAGTCAATATCAGTGACTTAAATATCAAATGAGAATATTGAAATGAAATGCTAAATCTCAGTGATGTATTAAAGAAATTAATGTCTGTGAAATTAATTGATATTCATATTGAATGAACAGTCAATGTCAGTGTCACATATTTAATGAACAGTCAATGCCAGTGTCACATATTTAATGACCTGTCAATGTCAGTGACATATTTGATGAACAGTCAATATCAGTGTCACATATTTAATGAACAGTCAATGCCAGTGTAACATATTTAATGACCTGTCAATGTCAGTGACATATTTGATGAACAGTCAATATCAGTAACACATGTTTAATGAAAGTCAATGTCAGTGGCATATTTAATGAACAGGCAATGTCAGTGACATATTTAATGAACAGTCAATGTAAGTGACAGATATTTAATGAAAAGTCAATGTCAGTGTCAGATTTAATGAAGCATCAAAGTCAGTGACATATTAAATGACCATGTCAATGTAAGTGACATATATAATGACCAGTCAATGTCAGTGACATATTTAATAAACAGTCAATGTCAGTGACATATTAATGAACAGTCAATGTTGGTGACATATTAAATGAAATCAATATCAGTGACATATTTAATGAACAGTCAATGTCAGTGTATTATATCAAATAAACAATGCCAGTGTAACATATTCAATGAACAGTCAATGTCAGTGTTAGATTTAATGACCAGTCAATGTCAGTGACAAATTAAATGACCAGTCAATGTAAGTGACATATATAATGACCAGTCAATGTAAGTGTCACATTTAATAAACAGTCAATGCCAGTGACATGTTTAATGACCAGTCAATGTAAGTGCCACATTTAATAAACAGTCAATGTCAGTGATATATTTAATGACAAGTCAATGTCAGTGACACATGTTTAATGACCAGTCAATGTCAGTGACACATATTTAATGACCAGTCAATGTCAGTGTAACATATTTAATGACCAGTCAATGTAAGTGCCACATTTAATAAACAAGTCAATGTCAGTGACACATATTTAATGACCAGTCAATGTCAGTGTAACATATTTAATGACCAGTCAATGTCTGTGTCACATATGTAAAGACCAGTCAATGTCAGTGTCACATATTTAATGAACAGTCAATGTCAGTAATATATTTAATGACCAGTCAATGTCAGTGACACATTAATTAACAGTCCATGTCAGTGTCACATATTTAATGACCAGTCAATGTGTAATTAACAGTCAAACTCAGTGACATATTAATAATGAACTGTCAGTGTTAGTGACATATCAAATAAATTAACTTTAATGATCCAAACATATGACATTTTTTACAATTTTATCGAAAACAGTGTTAGATTTATTTAAAAATGATAATATCATACAGTAAATCAAAATATACAACTATCACATCAATACAAAATCAATGCATTTTAAATGAGAAAATATGAATATAAAATGGCAATGAAAAATTGAAAGCACAAAATTATAACATAAATGAATTAATGTTAGCTGATACCTAGGTTAGTACAAGTTGTTAGTAAACTGTAATGAAATTCTAGTGCAGACAGTGTTTAAATAATAATTTGAAAATTATTTATGCATTAGTCAACACTTTTTGTGATCCAGACTGAATATAAAATATTCAACCCCTCCCATTTTCTGTTACCCTTCCCACTTTCCCTTACCCTTTGCATTGAATTCAAGCCCATCCCCTTATTCCCTACTTTGCCCTAAATCAAGTTTTTTTATAGTATCTGATCATTCTTCAGAACTATCTCTCAATGTGAAGAAAGACCTCCTGTGCAAGGGTCACTGAAGATCCATAGATCTTCCTTAATAAGTCATTGTTGGCTGAGCAAGATTCAAACCCATCAAGGTGCAGGGCTACAGATAGCATGTCACTTAACACCCTTATTATAAAAGTGACTAAGTCACTATTGGTCTTGGACACATCAACAAATTTACTACAGTACATTATCTCTGCAGAGCAACAATCTTTAAATGACATAGATTTCAGTTATTTCTTAGAAGTGTTAAATTTACTCTATATAGAGCTGAAGTCTTACTTTAGCAAGTATTATAAGATACTTTTGCTGTAAAGAGATAATTGCACTCTACAGGGCCACTCTGATGTGGGTTAACTTTACTTTATAGAGGATTTTTTTCCTTTAAAGTCATATGATAAATTTTAATATTTTTTAACTAAACTCTATCAGCATGCAATAATGATCAACAACAAAGCTTTCAAACTTTTACAAAATGTGGGGAAAAGCAAAGAAAGGAAAAGCAAGTTTAATCACAACAATACACAGCAAAAATATTAACTTTCTTAAACACAGCAAAATGTTATTAGTATTTGTATACAAAAATTGTTATAGTAAATGGTATTAAATCTAAAGCAATTAAGAGTTAAATAGAAAAAGAAACATTATAGTTTTATTGTGAAGAAGGTGTTAACAATTATTAGTCCTTTGAATGTGAAGACAGGAGAAAAATAGACATATTTTGACTACTTAGAGGACCTATTATTTCAGCAGAAGTAATGAAGACATCTTTTGAATATTTAAAATTGAATAAAATGCCATATATTATGATGCCATTTGTCTACTTTGTCTATTATTTCAGAAGATCCTTAATCTTTACTATACTGCTACTATTATTTCATAAAGAAACCCTTTGACTACTTTGTTTATTCATTGTGTCTTCATGACGATGCTTTTTGACCACTTTCCCTATTATTTCATCATAACTGTATGCAGGCATTTTGACTACCTTCCCTATTATTTCATCATAACTGTATGGAGGCATTTTGACTACTTTCCCTATTATTTCATCATAACTGTATGGAGGCATTTTGACTACTCTCCCTATTATTTCATTATAACTGTATGCAGGCATTTTGACTACTTTCCCTATTATTTCATTATAACTGTATGCAGGCATTTTGACTACCTTCCCTATTATTTCATCATAACTGTATGCAGGCATTTTGACTACCTTCCCTATTATTTCATCATAACTGTATGCAGGCATTTTGACTACCTTCCCTATTATTTCATCATAACTGTATGCAGGTATTTTGACTACCTTCCCTATTATTTCATCATAACTGTATGCAGGCATTTGACTACCTTCCCTATTACTTCATCATAACTGTATGCAGGCATTTGACTACCTTCCCTATTATTTCATCATAACTGTATGGAGGCATTTTTACTACCTTCCCTATTATTTCATCATAACTATATGCAGGCATTTTGACTACCTTCACTATTATTTCATCATAACTGTATGGAGGCATTTTGGCTACCTTCTCTATTATTTCATCATAACTGTATGGAGGCATTTTGGCTACCCTCACTATTACTTCATCATAACTGTATGCAGGCATTTTGACTACCTTCCCTATTATTTCATCATAACTGTATTGAGGCATTTTAGCTACCTTTCCTATCATTTCATCATAACTGTATGGAGGCATTTTGGCTACCTCCTCTATTATTTCATCATAACTGTATGCAGGCATTTGACTACTTCCCTATTATTTCATCATAACTGTATGCAGGCTTTTTGACTACCTTCCCTATTATTTCATCATAACTGTATGGAGGCATTTTGGCTACCTCCTCTATTATTTCATCATAACTGTATGCAGGCATTTGACTACCTTCCCTATTATTTCATCATAACTGTATGCAGGCTTTTTGACTACCTTCCCTATTATTTCATCATAACTGTATGCAGGCATTTTGACTACTCTCCCTATTATTTCATCATAACTGTATGGAGGCATTTCGACTACTCTCCCTATTATTTCATCATAACTGTATGGAGGCATTTTGACTACTCTCCCAATTATTTCATCATAACTGTATGGAGGCATTTTGACTATTATTGCCAAACATCATAACAATTATAACCTGCTGACTCAACTTGGCCTTTTTTATACAGATACTTTTTGACTACTTTTCATCATACAGGCACCTTTTGCCTACTTTGCCTATCATTTCATAAAGAGGCATTTTCATTACTAATGGACTATTATTTCAGAGACAGCTTTTGAGTATTTGCCTATTATTTCATTAGGACACTTTTTTGACAATTCAGCAAATATAACTCCATGCAACACAGAACTATTATGAGTTTTGATGTTTTTATATAAGCTTGAAAAAGTTTACTGCCACAAATATGAAAGCAATGGCACACTTTACAAACAAAGTGCACACATAATAAATGTTAGTGCATGTTAACTCATGTGTAAATGATTGTATAGAAATGAACTGAGACTTGAATGCTGACAAATGATAATCATAATGTAAGAAATGCCTGAAATAATTCTAACATATTCTGTCAAGTCTTCCAAACTATCAATAGATTGTTTTAATCATTGAATAGCAACAATAAATATATATTCAAACCTTCAACTATAAAAGAATTCAATTTGCTGTCTTACTGTTTAAGTTGACAAACCCAATTTTCAACCTTCAACTAAAGAATTGCTTTTTTATTTTCTTTAAAATTAATCATGGTTACTAAGAAACGGTTTTGGCTTTAATTATTAAAAGAATTTTTCAGAATTTTATATACCAATAAGCGTGCATTTTTTTTTCAAAGAGAGAGGTGAATGCCAAATAGGCAACTAAAGCATCAGATGTTAAAGGTGCTTTTACCATAATTATTACCAATAAAAATAGGTCAAAGTTTATTTGATCTAAGTTTATATCAATTTTGACAAAAGAATATATTCCAATTAGCTCTCCACATTCAGAATTAAGGACTTACAACCTTCATTACTTTAAACTTCAATTTTGTGATTGACAGACAGAAGAATTATCTGTATTGTAATCACAACAGAACAATTCTTTTTTTAGCCAAAAATATTTATTTATAAAAATGTTAGAATTCTATTTGATTTTTTATTAAAATCAGGCCTAAAAAAATTAAAATTAAAATCATTATGAAGTATTTTTCTTCTTTTTTTTTAAATTTTATTTAGTATTTGTTTATCTTCTTGTATTTTGATGTTTCTATATAATCCCTCACCAGATAAAAATCCATTTAACAAATGTCCATATTCTTTGTTTAGAATGATTGTTAGTGTGGCTTAAGACTGTTAGGAGTGAAATGGAAAATATTCTTTTGTTTAAGAAGCGCCCTTTTTGCAGTGTTTGATTAACTGGGTAAATAATTTTCTAACAATTAACTACTACTGGGTACAACATATATTATAGAACTGAGTCTGGAGGTTTGCACGTGATGCTGTAACCATTAACAAAAAAACATTAATGACTTTATGATATGGACTAAAAATCTCAATAATTTGTTCAAATACCATTTCAAGAATGAAACAATTTGTAAACAAGTCCCACAGTCAGTATATAGCTATATTTCATGCATTCAGGGTATGTCTCAATGTAATGAAAGAATTTCTTAACTTTTGTTTGATTTTAACTTAAAAGGTTCATTAAGAATTTATAATGAATCAAGTTCTGTAACTCTATTTGTCACTTTAAGGGGACTTAACACCTAATTTATCTTAATTCATGTAGAAGTATCTTTATTTTATCATTAGTTGACAGTTCTAAAATTGAACAAAAATTGTTGCGTTAATATAAATATCAATTTTCATAATCAGATAAACAGTTTTCGACAACAATTTTGACCAACTTGTAAATCTGACATACAAACATTACTATCGAAAATTTTTAAAAAATGTTCAGGAATGATGGATAAACTGGCAATTAAAATGTAAATTTTTATTGAAAAAAAAGAAGAAAAACACTGGGATGGGGAAATACAAAAAAAAATTCATTTTTTATATACAAGCATCGATATAGTGCACTCCAGCCGCATTTTATAATTCAACCCGTCAACATTATCTCACCCGTTTAGCTTCCGAGGACGCGGCCTTACGAAACTCTCGTCTCCTTTCATCCTTAATGTCGGTATAACTGAAATCACAAGTTGTTTAAATGTTATCAAAAACAGTAAAAAATAAAATCAGCGTTCAACGCATGCTTTTACAATACTTACTATTCTGTCAATATCAATTTTCTTAAATTGCCCCTTTTTCCGATGAGGTCTCGTTTTTTCAATATCTGTATAGCTGGAAAGTAGAAGAACACTTATCAGCATTTGAGCCGTGTCATGACAAAACCAACATAATGGGTTTGCGACCAGCATGGATCCAGACCAGCCTGCGCATCCGCGCAGTCTGTTCAGGATCCATGCTGTTCGCTATCAGTTTCTCTATTTGTAATAGGGTTGGTAAGCGAACAGCATGGATCCTGATCAGACTAAGCGGATGCGCAGGCTGGTCTGGATCCATGCTGGTTTCAATATCTGTATAGCTGGAAAGTAGAAGAACACTTATCAGCATTTATTGATATCTATGAGTAAAATACCAATGATAATGCATCATGTGTTTTGAAAGAAAATGATGATATTAATACTGTACATGTAATAACATAATTAAGTGCAAACATTTTCATAATGACTGTATGTCAATGAGCTGTAAGATGACTTTGCTTCTGGAATAAAAATTATTTTATATTATAGTACATCATCACCAATAATACATTTATATCTTTTAAACAATCTCAAATATTTTATTCCAAATGTTTACCTTTCTTTTGGTATGAACAAGCATTGAAATAAATTGTTTATGATTTCACCAAAGCTTTTAATGGGATAATTGATGTCCCTTTGAAACATTTTTAATTTGGAGTTAATGGGCTGTTCCTTTGAAACAACGGTACATTTAATCCTTACATTAATCACAGCAACTGAATCGTACCCATGTCACATTAGTGTAGATCAAGATCAGCCAGAACATCTGATCATTAGCATGGCAAGGGGTAATTTTGTGAGTTTGTTCCAATTAAAAACTCTATATTATATAATTGGTAGTTCAGTCATCTCATCTGTGTTGCTATCATCATCATCATCAGCTTGATCGTCAACAACAACAATAACAACATCATCAATATCATCACCATTATCATCATCATCAGCTATGAAAGAACTTAATAATGACTGCATAGGTGTTCACATTATAAATGCTAAGAATTTATCATATACATATATTTAAGACTAAACTTTTAGTATATTTAGTTTAGTGTGCATAAGTACATTTGAAAATTAGTAAAGTAATTAATCCTTTTGGATAAAATATAACTTCGAACACTTAAAGCACTTAGAAACAAGTGAACATATTGACCTGAGATATTCAACAAGCTGTAAGTTGATATTGACAAACAAGTAGATCAATAAAATATGATATATAATCCAGGAAAGCAATTATGTCTGCTGCTAGACTCATTGATATTGTGAGCTTCATTAATGACCGACAGGTGGACTGGTTTGATGGTTTATAGAGTAGGATAATGTTATTCTATTGTATAACATAAAGAATGAATTATTAAAAACAAAAACATGAGCCACAGCCTAGCGGGGGCTATGATCTACTTTTTATTAATTCTTAAGACGAAGATTTATTTTTGAGTACAAAATATTACTCAAATATCATAATTGACCTTAATGACAGTCAAGGTGACTAGTCAATTACAGATCAAGGTCATACTTAAATTACATCAACATGTCCGCAACAGCAGACATCATAGTATTACAGTAGCATTTACAACTCAATTTTTTTCTTCCAGCTAAAAACCACATCCTAAATTAATTCATAACACTTTTTGCATTGAACCGAACTAAATTGTTGGAAGTAAAATTGACTTAAACCTAAACTGCCAACAGTATATATTCATTCTTGCAGTCTGAAACTGTTGGAAGCTCTGAATTATTTTGGTATATTAAAAATTAAATCCATTCACTTTCAAATAAACTGTTCCAAATTAAATGAAATTGTCCGAATTAAATGAAATGATTCAAATATGAAGCAGGGAAAATCAATTAAACAAATTTTAGCAGGTTTGAAAATAATTCTTGAAATTCTAATTGTATTAATATTTTGTAATTGCCTTGCCATATTGCCATTGTAACATACCAGTTTAAAGACAAGACTTTTTTTGGTTTTAATTCTTAAATTGCAACGTTGAATATCATATTTGTATTGCCTACAGCACTTAATCTGACTATGTGACTTTTTTTACATTTGATTAAAGTAATTTTTAACATGTTACTAATGCTTTTACGACTGATATACATTTTGTATTCTTTATAAAAATATTGGTAAAGTAATTATAAATCCTTTACAAAAAACCTCTTCAGTTTGATCTCTATTTGCTTTTTAAAACCTGCCTTTAGATAATGGCAGTGAGCAATTTATTATTGATTTTTATAACAGAATTCCAACAAGGTAATTTGTATGAAATTTGACACTTGTAAGTTGATGATATGGAGTTGGAACATAAAGTAAAGAAATGTTTTTTTTATCGTGATGTGAGAATTTCTATAAGAATATCATTCTATATACACCAAGTATGAATTAGTTCCATTCATGATATTTAAATACATTGGAAAAGATTTATTCACAAAAGTGGAGAAATATACTGGCATCAGTCTATAGATATATCAAGGGTAAATCACAAAACTGTTGTAAGTCCTTCTTTGTTTCTTATAAGTTACTACAATTATAAAACATCACGCTCTTCCTGTATACTTTGATAAGCTAGAAATTAAACATGTTACATAAACGCAAACCGTATTCAACATGTTTTAAAGTATAAAAAATACTCCTACAAGTTCTGCAAACTTTGTCAAGGGAAATTGACTGTAATATCAAATTTCAAAAGAGCATGGTTACTCTTTCTTCAACTGTATGATAATAAGGAACATTATAATCTCTACAAATGTGATACATGGAGCTGTGGTCATTTTACTATGTGACTGAACCATACTAAGCTTCCATATGTCACCATTGTAAACCACATGAGCAGAGGAGATCAGATCGTATTATTTATATATATATCTATAATAATAATATTAACGTATGTTGTCATTATACCAAATAGTTACTGAAAAAACAAAGACATGTCTAAAATAAGTCAAAGTCAGGGCTTGAACTCAATAACTCTGGACAACCACAGGCCTGCTAAATAGCACTGACCCACTCCAGTCTCAGGTTATTGACTGGCGGGCGGAGATCATTATATCTTTCATCTCCATGTCTTTTTCAACTTCATACAATTTTTCCATTGACTAGTACATCAAAGTGGCAGTGTCACTTAATAAACCCTTTTCAATAAAGCTATTTAAACACATGCTATTGACTTAATGGATTAAGCATACATTAATTTATTCAAAATAATCTCAATGTACCTTATGAATATGTATAGAAATTTAAAATCTTGAACCACGAATTAATTCCTACGCACTTACAGGAAATCTCAATCACGACCTATAACATACTGACGGTTCACCCGGATTTAAAGTGGAAAGGTTTCTGTTTGTTGTAACCTTATATATATATTATATCAATCAAATCTGAAGCATTTTACAAACATTTTTTGCTTTTACAGTTCAGAGGTTTGAATAAATGAACACTTTAGTGTCAAGACTTATTATTATAATGCTTATAGAGTTTTATTCAATTTCGTTTAATTGCACTGATTGCATATATATAGTCGGAGCATCATAATTGACAATTTAAATCTTCACCAGTGTTAAGAAACACACAGACCTGAACGTCCCAGACTAAAAAATATGCTGTTGAAGAATTCCACCCCCCCCCACCAAAATAAATAAAAAAAAAAAAGGTAATCTTTTCTGACATTTCACAAGGCAAACCTGATTTTTATGTCAGACCATAAAAATTTATCTAATCCTTTCCTAACATAGTGTGAACATCCATATTTATCTTTGATTTATTTGATAATTCCAGCTGGGTATCAGAAAGAGATCATCTGTGCATGCTTTTTGCCTGACAAGTTAGACAACAACCTGACTGTCCTCCATGACAAGACTCATTATCAAACTGAGTCTTCAACTTTGTTACCCTCCAGCTATCTATTTTGGCAATTTACACTGTGCATGCCTGTTGAAGTCAGAGATATCAATAAAGAAAATAAAGGTAGAATTCATAACTTCAACTTATTGGTAGAATTAAAGCATTTCAATTAAGGTCCTGAAGATATGTTTGTCTGCATATTACAAAAAAGAACTTTCATAAATCAACCATTTTTTTAGGTGTTGGGGTCTAATATAAACTTTAATTGTAAATACAGTACATCAATAATGATAAATCTATACTGTTAGAAGTAAATGGATTATATTATCTTATTTCTTACAAAGACACACCCCTCTCTAATTCCCCCTCCCCATCCACAACAAAATTAACACACAACTTAAGTTCTGCAGCCTCACATGTAGAGCATTCCCAATAAAAAAAATAGCTACCATATATATTTGTATCAGCTGATTAAATGCTTTTTTACAGAACATTTTCAATTACATGTAGATCAAAATTATATTATCATCACTTACTTAATTATACAGAGTTAAAACGCATGATTTGAAATTGCAGTCTTCAGTCAGTGACACATACTTAGTTCATGATTTCGTTGGTGATTTAACAGCAGTAAAATAATTTTAATCTAAATAACCAGCTTTAGATTTGGATCAGTTATCAGAATTTATCAATGTATTGGCAAATTAAGATTTGCAATTGAAGCCTTAAAAGATCTAAGATTGTTGATGGAGCAATTAATTTAGTTTTGATAAAACTTTAAAATAACAGACTTCTGTATACATGTAATTATTTCCTTTAAATCAATACACCTACAATACACCAATATATTAGTAATGATTGATTAGGTTAATGTATATTTATCCTAGAATAATGAAATGTTAACTTTGGTACTAGATAAGAAGTGGTGGCATACATGTGTACATAAAATTATTTTGATATCAAAACCAAAACCCCCGAATAATCGCAATGGAATATACCAATTTCAAAGCCAGGTTCAAGTCCATTGTCCATGAAAAGCAT